CTCTTTTTTCACTTCTTCCCTCCCTCCCTTCTTTTCCCTCCCTTCCTCCCTCCCTCCCTTCTGTGAAACCAGCCAATTTGCTTATCATTGTTTGTACCAACCAGTTACCAACTTGATCAGTGAAGCCCAGAAAATGAGTTAAAACTAAGCAGTCAGATTTTCGGAGTTTGTGTGAATGGGACGCATGTAAACTAAGGCTAAAGAAAAACGCTTAAGATTCTGTTATTTACTCTGAAACCAGTGTGTGCTTCATTTCCGAAGCTCCCTTGATTTAAACTCTGTTACCATTTCATGTTAAGGTGACCGCACTGAACAATTTGCTAAGTTAATAAAAAGCCAGATGAAATGTGCCAAAACTAAAGCAACGTAGAAAGATTGACTGCGTAGCAACAGGAATAGACTGTAAGTAGGAGTGGAGCACTGGCAATTATGCATTATTTTATACTTAAGTGCAAAATCAAAAAGAAAATCCATTTTTTTTATGAAGTACAAAAATCAAAAAGCTCCTGCCGTTACGCACTAAAATTCTCCAAGTTGGGTGCAAAACTGGAAATGCACAAATTTGTAGAATTCCATCTAGAGTCATAGAATGCTAGGGCTGGAAGAGACCTTGGAGGTCATCTAGTCCAACCCCCTACTCAAGGCAAAGAGACCTTGTACCATCCTGGCCAACTGGTTGTCCAGTCTCTTCTTGAAAAACTCCAGTGAGGGACACCCACAACTCCGAGAGGCAAGGCTTTCCAATGATGGTTCCTTGTTCTCAGTCCTGCGTCTGGTTGTAACACTTTACACCCGGGAAGGCAGCCCTGGGCCACAAGAGAGAGATAAAAAAAACTCAAAATAGTGGCCACAACCATATGATCACAGTCCCTCCATTTGTGTGGGAAAGAGGGAGGGCTTTGATCACAAGATCACGGCTGCCATCTTGACTTTTTTGACCATCCTGCCAGTGTCCTATAAGGCAGAATGTTATTTTCAAGCTGAAGATGGCTTCCTTCCTTCCTTCCTTCCTTCCTTCCTTCCTTCCTTCCTTCCTTCCTTCCTTCCTTCCCAACCCTAATCCATTCCTCCCTTCCTTCCTTCCTTCTCAACCCTAATCCACTCCTCCCTCCTTCTCTCCTCCCTCCCTCCCTCCGTTCCTTCCTTCCTTCTCAACCCTAATCCACTCCTTCCTCCCTCCCTCCCTCCCTCCCTCCCTTCCTTCCTCCTTTTCTTCCTTCCTTACCATTTTTCTTCCTTCCCATTTTCCTTTCTTTTTCCTTCTTTCCTTCCTTCCTTCCTTCCTTCCCTTCTCAACCCTAATGCACTCCTTCATTCCTCCCTCTCTCCCTCCCTCCCTTCCTTCCTCCTTTCTTTCTTTCCTTCCTTCCTCCCTCTCCTCCCTCTCCTCCATCTCCCTGTTTCTCCTTCCTTCCTTTTTCTCTCATTTTCTCTATTAGAACAATCTCGTTACAGGTAGTCCTCGACTTGTAACCGTTCGTTTAATGACCATACGACAACCCTGAAAAAAGTGACTTATGACTGTTTTTCACACTTACGAACATTGCAGCATCCCCCTGGTCACGGGATCAAAATCCGGACGCTGGGCCGCTGACTCGTAGAGTCGGTCCCTTCCAACTCTGTTCACAGGTAGTTCTCGACGTACGACCACAACGGAGCCCAAAATTTCTGTTGCTAAGTGAGACATTTGTTCAGTGAGCTTACGACCTTGATTGCCAGAGTTGTTAATTGAATCACTGCAGATGTTAAGCTGCTAACACAGTCGTTAAGTGAAACTGGCTTCCTCCGTTGATTTTGCTTGTCAGAAGGTCGCAAAAGGGGATCGCGTGACCCTGGAACACACTGCAACCGTCATAAGTACATGCCAGTTGCCAAGCATCTGAATTTTGATCACCTGATCAGGGTGGTGCTGCAACGGTCGTAAGTGTGAAAAACGGCCGTAAGTCCCTTTTTTCCAGTGCTGATGTAACTTTGAACAGTCACTAAATGAACTATTGTAGGGTGAGGGCTACCTGGTATTCTGTTAAAACTTTTTTTTAAAATAATATTTTATTAATTTTCCAGTTTTACATTTGAATATTTAAAAAGCAACGTGGTGACTGGGTTACAATAGTTCTATAACAAAATCTTAGTGCAAATCTCAGGTTACAACATCGACTATTTCTTCTCTTTTTCCCTTAACATTTACTGTCTCATATTCAGGTTAGTACATTTCCAATTATATCAACTCAATAAGAACATCATTATTACATTCATCAATAATTTTTTAGCTTCTACATATCTTAATTACATTCAGTCTTCATAAACAATCCATATCCTGTTATTAATTTTTGCTCAGTTTTTAGTTTCTTATCAATATTCCAATTTAACCTTTGATATTTATAATTTTCAGGCTTTGGGTAACCAAAATTTCCCTTATCTCACTTCATAACAAACTATAATATCCAAAATACATATTTTATCTATTTGAATATAATCTTCTATTTCCTAAGAGTTATCTGCCTCAACTTACCAGGTCTGTAGTATGGGTATAATTCTGGCCTTTCTCTTGTCCTTCTAGTTTGCCATCTCTATGCCCGGTCCAGGAATCAGCTCTAGGAGAAAGGAGTCTGCAGTTTTTGCATAGTTTGGATGCACAAATTTAATAATAACAATAACAATAATAACAACAATAACAACAACAACAACAATAATAATAAAGTTGGAAGGGACCTTGGAGGTCATCTAGTCCAACCCCCTGCTCAGGCAGGAAAGCCTATACCATTTCAGACAAATGGCTGTCCAGTCTCTTCTTAAAAACTTCCAGTGTTGGCGCATTCACCGCTTCTGGAGGCAGGTTGTTCCACTGGTTAATTGTTCTCACCGTCAAGAAGTTTCTCCTTAATTCCAGGTTGCTTCTCTCCTTGATTAGTTGGCATCCATTTTTTTGTTCCCCCCTAAAATAATTTTACTGCTTGTCTTTGAGTGGCATGAACCTAATTACAGGGTTTTTTTTTAATTATTTTATTTTGATCTTTCAGTCTTTAAAACGATGGCTGTGTTCAAACAGTGTCACCTGAGGTCAGATTGTACCAGATGTATTTCTATTTGATCTTTTTTTTTTTTTTTTTTTTTTGTGAGGGCTTCATTTTTTGTACAAAACTGGACCGGCTAATTTATTGCTCAGTGTGCAGCTTTGGAAAAGGAGTCAATTCAGAAATCGGGTTAAGAGTATTGTGCAAATGTAGGTAATGTTGTCTCTTCTCTGGCAAACCGCTCACAGTCTGCAGTAAAGGATGCGTTGCGTCAACATATTTAGAATTGAATATTAATAAAGGAGAATATTTGCAGCTCGGGGTTGAAATGACAGGTCCTTGATGCTTTCTGGGCTTGGATATTTTTTTTTTTTTGCAGATCTTTCATTACCTAAACTAGGTAACATCATCAGCGCTGGAAGGGACTGGCGTTTGCTCTCCTCCCGTTCTAGCCCTGATGATGTTACCTAGTTTGGTAGTGAAACGTCTGCAAGAAAACAACTAAGCTCAGAGAGTACCAAGGACCCCTCAGAATTAAATACAGATAGTCCTCAACTTACAACTTATTGACTTATTTTAACGGCATTGGAAAAAATTACGGCCTTTTTTCACACTTATTGCCGTTGCAGTATCCCCAGGGTCATGTGAACAGAATTCAGATCCTTGGCAACTGACTCGAATTTATGACAGTTGCAGTGTCCCGGGGGGTCGGGGGGCTGGCTGAGGAATTCTGGGAGTTGAAGTCCACAAGTCATGAAAGGGCTACGTTTGAAGACCCCTGCCCTACAACATTTCAGAAAAAATAGCGGTCCAATATCTTCTTAAAAATCTCCAGTGATGGAGGACCCACAACTTCTGGAGGCAAAGCAGTTCCACTGATTTTAATTGTTCTCACTATCAGGAAATTTCTCCTCAGTTCTAGGTTGGTTCTGCCGAAATTAACATGGCTGGTCTTTGATTTACAGGGAGACCATTTGGTGGGCCCGCTGGCTGAGGAATTCTGGGAGTTGAAGTCCACAAGTCATAAAAGGGCCAAGTTTGAAGACTCCTCCCTTAGGCTTTGCCACTTTCATGGCTGGACTTCAGCTCCCAGAATTCCCCAGCCAGGCGTGCTGGCTCGGGAATTCTGGGAGTTGAAGTTCACACATCTTAAAGTGGCTAAGCTTGAGAAACCCTCCTTCAAAGGGATGCATTACTGGTGACCAGCCTATCAAGACTTAATGTAATATAATAATAATAAAGTTGGAAGGGACCTTACAGGTCATCTAGTCCAATCCCCTGCTCAGGCAGGAAACCCTATGCCAGGGGTAGGCAACCTTGGCTCTTTTATGACTTGTGGACTTCAGCTCCCAGAATTCCTGAGCCAGCATGGCTCAGCTTGGAAACCTCTCCCTTTCCCCTCAGCGTGGCTGGCTCAGGAATTCTGGGAGTTGAAGTCCACGAGTCATAAAAGAGCCAAGGTTCCCCATCCCTGGCCTAGATCAGGGGTAGGCAACCTTGACTCTTTTATGACTCGTGGACTTCAACTCCCAGAATTCCTGAGCCAGCATAGGGAACTATGACCCCCTCATGACTCGTGGACTTCAACTCCCAGAATTCCTGAGCCAGCATGGCTCAGCTTGGAAACCTCTCCCTTTCCCCTCAGCATGGCTGGCTCAGGAATTCTGGGAGTTGAAGTCCACAAGTCATAAAAGAGCCAAGGTTGCCTACCCCTGGTCTGGTGGATGCCACTTTAGAGGAGCAAATTGGGAGACCTGTATCTTCACCCCTGGCTTAGAAGTTGCTCAAAAACTGCTGGGTCATTACAAGAGACCTGATTCTGGTCTAAGATTGATCCAGCAGGGCTGTTAATGAAGTTCTGAAGAAGCAGCAATGGGTTAAGGTCCAACTCTTTGACCTCCATCCCAGAAGGTTAAACCAACCCCCCATCCCTTGTCTGAATGTCCAGATTCTTTGAGATGATACCCTTTCTTCTTTCTTCCAGCAATGGCAGACCCCTATACCTACAGAGTTGGAAAGAAACTCGCAGGATCCAGCAGGACCAACACGGAGAGAGAAAGCAGCAAGGCAGACCTGAAGGTTCATACAGCCTACGAACAGTCTAACCTGGGTAGGCATTAAGTCTTCCAAGTGGGGTCAAGGCAGGTCAACTTTTGAATCCAGGGATAGGCATTTGCAACCCCCATAAAATTTTTGCCAATTTTTCTGCAAGCGGAACAGAACTCAGTAAGTCCACCATTTGCCCGGAAAATTCTATGGAAACCGTCTCAAAGATTTCAGGTAGGGCGCCCAACAATAAGAATACCGGTTGCTGAGGCAGCCAATAGCAATAGCACTTAGACCAGTGGTTCTCAACCTTTTTAATGCCGCAACCCCAACCGGTCGTAAGTCGAGGACTAAACCAGTCGTAAGTCGAGGACTAAACCGGTCGTAAGTCGAGGACTAAACCAGTCGTAAGTCGAGGACTAAACCGGTCGTAAGTCGAGGATTTTCCCTGCCCGGGAGCGCCGCGCATGCGTGGTTTCGCCCCCTGCGCCGGCCGAGGCGTAGCTGGCAAGTGGCAGAGACGGAGCAGGCCGACCACCAGCTGGCCCAGCCCAAGGGAGGTAAGGCACCCGCCGGAAAAGGGGGGAAAAAATGGCGGACAAAAAAAATGGCGGACAGCCTTGCTTGGCGACCCCCGTGAAATGGTCGATCGACCCCAAATGGGGTCCCGACCCACAGGTTGAGAACCACTGACTTAGACTTATATACCGCTTCACAATGCTTTACAGCCCTCTTTGGGCGGTTTACAGAGTCAGCCTATTTGCCCCCAACAATCCGGGTCCTCGTTTTACTGGCCTCAGAAGGATAGTCAACCTTGAGCCGGTCAGGATCGTACTGCTGGCAGTGGGCAGAGTCAGCCTGCAATACTGCATTCTAACGTTAATTCCAGGTTGCTTCTCTCTTTGATTAGTTGGCATCCATGTTTTTGTTCCCCCTAAAATAATTTTACTGCTTGTCTTTGGGTGGCATGAAGCTAGATACAGGGTTTTTTTCTTAATTATTTTATTTTGATCTTTCAGTCTTTAAAACGATGGCTGTGTTCAAACAGTGTCGCCTTAGGTCAGATCGTACCAGATGTATTTCTATTTGATTTTTTTTTTTTTTTGAGGGCTTAACTTTTTGTGCAAAACTGGACCGGCTAATTTATTGCTCAATGTGCAGCTTTGGAAAAAGAGTCAATTGAGAAACCGGGTTAAGAGTATTGTGCAAATGTAGGTAACGTTGTCTCTTCTCTGGCAAAGCGCTCACAGTCTGCAGTAAAGGATGCGTTGTGTCAACATTTTTAGAATTGAATATTAATAAGGAGAATATTTGCAGCTCAGGGTTGAAATGACGGGTCCTTGATGCTCTCTGAGCTTGGATTTTTTTTTTGCAGATCCTTCATTACCTAAACTAGGTAATATCATCAGTGTCGGAAAGGATTGCCGTTTGCTCTCCTTCCATTCTAACCTTGATGATGTTACCTAGTTTGGTAGTGAAATGTCTGCAAGAAAACAACTAAGCTCAGAGAGTACCAAGGACCCCTCAGAATTAAATACAGATAGTCCTCAACTTACAACAGTTCACTTATTGACTGAAGTTACAATGGCATTGGAAAAAATTACGGCCTTTTTTCACATTTATTACCGTTGCAACATCCTCCGTGGTCACGTGGTCAAAATTCAGACGCTTGGCAACTGACTCGAATATAACTTCGGTCACTGTTGTAAGCCGAGGATGACCTGTAGCGCAAGATCAGAAGATAGGAGAGTCCTGGGCCATAGAATCAGCGAGGGTCAACACAACTGAGTGGGTGTCATCGTAATTGTCATCCTCAATAAACCTCTTGTGGAACCTCAAGAGAACGTTGCGTTCCCCAACCACGTCTTGCCACGATGCGGATTACATTCTCACATGAAAACTTATACATCATTGATCGCTGATGTTGATTTCAACATTTTTTTTCTTCTCCCTTTCTTGGCAGGAAATGCAATGCACGACAAAACAGAAAGCAAACGGAAAGGAAGGCCCAAGACGGAAAACCAGGCCTTGAGAAATATTCCCGTAAGATTTTAATTGTATTTTCTGTCTTCCTCGGCAACGGGAGAAAAAGAACGGTCTTGAATGGCTGAGCATTCCTTTTCGCGTAGGATGGCTCAGGAGACGGGGAGTTTAAATTTGTTAGAACATAGAGTCATAGGGCTGAAAGGGAACCCAGAGGTCTTCTAGTCCAACCCCCTGCTTAAAGCAGGGGTCTTTATACCACCCGGGTTAAATGGTTGTCCAGTTTTTCCTTGTAAACCTCCAGGCGGTGAGTTCTAATCTCGCCTTAGGCACACAAGCCTGCTAGGTGATTTTGGGCCAATCCCCCAAAGACGGCGAATTCTAGTCTTGCCTTAGGCGTGAAAGCTGGCTGGTGACTTTGGGCCAGTCTTTCTCTCAACCCAGCTCACCTCTCAGGATTGTTTTGCGTGGAAAATAGGAGAAGAATAGAGTATTAGGTATGTTCGCTGCCTTGAGTTACTTATGAAATAATAAATGTGGGATAAAAATGGAAAGAAAGGAAGGAGGAAGGGAGTGAGGAAGGGAAGGAAGGAAGGAGGGAGGGAGGGAGGGAAGGAAGGAAGGAAGGAAGGAAAGAAGGAAGGAAGGAACGAAGGAAGGAAGGAAGGAACGAAGGAAGGAAGGAAGGAAGGAAAGAAGGAAGGAAGGAAAAAAAAGATTGACCGCAGCAGCATCCAATGTTCAGAAGAAAATAGAAAAACACATATACTTAAGCAGTACCCAGTCCCACTTGCCCAATCTGTCATGTTCCACATATGTTGGATTCCAATTCCCATTTGCCCTAGGCAGGATGAGGATGATGGAACTTGTAGTGCACCACTGCTGAGGACGTCCAGCTGTTTTTAAGTCGCAGCAGAGGAAACACGCTATTTAGATTCATGTGTGATGATTAATTTCATGGATTACGATGAGCCCTTGGATTGCTTACGGTAAAGCCTGTAGCCGTTGGATAAAAAAAAAAAAAATCTTCTGTTTAACCCACTTTCGTTTATTTGCTCCCTGGTGGAAAAAGCAATTTTTTTTCCTGCTTCTGCCATGGATCTATCGCTCATTCCCGGTGAAGAGAATTCTAGAGGACTGTTTCTCAACCTTGACAACCTGAAAAGGTGCGGACTTCAACTCCCACAATTCCTCAGTCAGCCAAGCAGGCTGAGGAATTCTGGGAGTTGAAGTCCGCACCTTTTTGGGTCATCATGGTTGAGAAACACTGTCCTGGAGAGGAAACATTGCGTCGCATCTTGTAGCAACATTGAACCTCAGGATCTTAAGCAATAATTAAATGCTCAGAGGAACTCCCACCTATTAAAACTTTATTAATGATTGCTTAAGCCAATAGAATATTCGTAGCTCAAGATTGACTGTGGGCCCTTGGTGCTCTTGAACTTGGTTGGGTTTTTTTTCCCCAGATGTTTCATGACCCAACTAGGTAGCATCGTCTCAGTGGTGGGATTCAAATATGTGAAAAAAAATAATAATAGTAAAGTTGGAAGGGACCTTGGAGGTCATCGAGTCCAACCCCCTGCTCAGGCAGGAAACCCTATACCATTTCGGACAAATGGCTGTCTAGTCTCTTCTTAAAAACTTCCAGTGTTTGGAGCATTCACTGCTTCTGGAGGCAGGTTGTTCCACTGGTTAATTGTTCTCACTGCCAGGAAGTTTCTCCTTAGTTCCAGGCTGCTTCTCTCCTTGATTCATTTCCATCCGTTGCTTCTTGTCCTGCCTTCAGGTGCTTTGGAGAATAGCTTGACTCCCTCTTCTTTGGGGCAGCCCCTGAGATATTGGAACTCTGTTACCTAGTGATGATGTTACCTAGTTGGATAATGAAACATCTGCCAACCCCATTCCCTTCTAACACTGATGAAATTACCTAGTCGGGTAATGAAATGTCTGCAAGAAAAGAACGAAGCTCAGAGAGCACCAAGGACCCCACAGTCGTCGTCGTCGTCGTCGTCGTCCTCCTCCTCCTCCTCCTCCTCCTCCTCCACTCCCCAAATCTCACTACGCTCTAGCACTGATGTTGTCACCTATTTGGGTCATCAAATGTCTGCAAGAAAACAACCAAGCCCAGAGAACATCAAGGACTCCACAATTGCTTAAACGTTACCCACAGACACACTTGCTCATATTGTTCCATTGCCAGATAGCCAGGTAGGGAATGGAATTTGGGGAAGACAGAACAGTTGCTGGAATTGGGTCTGTCTAGTTTAATGAAGAGAAGGACGAGGGGGGACATGATAGCAGTCTTCCAATATCTCAGGGGCTGCCCCAAAGAAGAGGGAGTCAAGCTATTCTCCAAAGCGCCTGAAGGCAGGACAAGAAGCAACGGATGGAAACTAATCAAGGAGAGAAGCAACCTAGAACTAAGGAGAAACTTCCTGACAGTGAGGACAATTAACCAGTGGAACAACCTGCCTCCAGAAGCTGTGAATGCGCCAACACTGGAAGTTTTTAAGAAGAGACTGGACAGCCATTATTATTATTATTATTATTATTATTATTATTATTATTATTATTATTATTATTATTATAGTGGATAGTTGTGTACACAGGTAGTTGTGTCCTCCAATAGCTTTTCCTTTATCTTTCCTTTATCTTTTGCCCCCCCCTCATTCCACCAGCCTTCCATCTCACATCAGGTTGCTGGGTTCAAACATGACTTTCTGTATCTAATTGCTGTTTCAAAATTCTTCTTTGAAGACTTCTTTTCGTCTCGCTTATTCTCACACTCACCTAATTTCTCACGGGCAATGTTTCTCAACCTTGGCAAACTTTAGGGCTTTAGTTCCCAGGAATACCCCTCCAATCTGTACGGACTTGTATGGAACTCCCCACATTCCCTCACCAGCACAGGTAGACTTCAACTCCCAGAATTCCCTTCTAGCATGTGTGAACTTCCAATTCCTAAAACAGTGGTGGCGAACCTATGGCACGGGTGCCAGAGGCGGCACTCAGAGCCCTCTCTGTGGGCACACGTGCCGTCACCCCAGTCCTAGGCCTTCAGCTGGGTTTTATAAAACCTTTTCGCTTTAGGCCTCCGTTGCCATGTGCAAAAAAAAAAAAGATTCAATCAATCAGTCAATTTCAACTTCTCGCGGGAAAAAAAAAGAACTTGCAAAGTTGGAATTGATTGATTGAACTTTTTAGTCCCACCCAGTCTGCCGTTACCACCGCAGCCACGCCCACCCAATGGGCCACACCCACCCAATGGGCCACACCCAGCCAATGGGCCACACCCACCCGGCACCCGACGATGCATAAGTGGGTTTTGGGTTGCAGTTTGGGCACTCAGTCTCTAAAAGGTTCGCCATCACTGTCCTAGAATTTACCCACCTGCAGAATAATAATAATAATAGTAATAATAATAATAATAATAATAATAATAATAATAATAATAATAATAATAATAATAAAGTTGGAAGGGACCTTGGAGGTCATCTAGTCCAACCCCCTACTCAGGCAGGAAACCCTACACCATTTCGGACAAATGGCTGTCCAGTCCCTTTTTAAAAACTTCCAGTGTTGGAGCATTCACTGCTTCTGGAGTTGAAGTCTGTGCACCTTAAAGTTGCAAAGATGGAGCTAGGCCAGGGTGAAGTTTTAGTTATTCTGCTTCTTGCAAGATTTGAGTTTGTGTAATTATCCCTGCATGAGTCTCTGTTCTTGGGTTGCCTCCTCCTGTTCCCCAGAGCAGGAATCTTTGCCTTTCAAGCCCAGAATTCCCCCACTAGCATATGTAGACTACAACTCCCAGAATTTGCCCAGCTGTGGAACATCTTAAAGTTATGAAGATTGAGCTAGGGCAGGGGTAGGCAACCTTGGCTCTTTTATGACTCGTGGACTTCAACTCCCAGAATTCCTGAGCCAGCCATGCTGAGGGGAAAGGGGGAGGTTTCCAAGCTGAGCCATGCTGGCTCAGGAATTCTGGGAGTTGAAGTCTACGAGTCATGAAGGGGCCAAAGTTTCCCCCATGCTGGCTCAGGAATTCTGGGAGTTGAAGTCCACCAGTCATAAAAGAGCCAAGGTTGCCTACCCCTGAGCTAGGGTGAAGTTTTAGTCATTCTCTTTCCTCCAAGATTTTAGTTTGTGTAATTTATCTCTGCATGAGTCTCTGTTCTTGAGTTGGCTCCTTCTGTCCCCTGGAACGAAAATATTTACCCTTCATGGCTCAGTGGAAAGCCTTGGGTTAGCTGGAGATCAAGCTGAGGAAGGCAGCTGCGCTATTTTTTAGTCTTTCTGGCCCTCTTTTCTTGATTTTTTTAAATTCCTTTTTTCTCTCTCTTTTTTTCCCTCATTTTCTGGACTTTCTCCTCTCAGCTGCCTCTGATGAATCAATGGAAGGATGAATTTAAGGCTCACTCCAGGGTGAAGTGTCCTAATTCGGGCTGCTGGCTGGAGTTCCCAAGCATCTATGGCTTGAAATACCACTTCCAGCGGTGCCAGGGGGTAAGAAAAATCAGACCTGCTCTCCTAGTTTGGGGACCACCTTCGTTGCAACTCTGTGGATGTGTACAGGTAGTCCTTGATTTACGACCACAATTGGGATTGGATTTTCTGTTGCTGAGCAAAGCGGTTCTTGGTGAGACACCCAATTTTTACAACCTTTTCTCAAACCAGGGCAATCTGAAGATGGGTGGACTAACTCCCAGAATTCCCCAGCCAGCTCTGATGGCTGGGGAATTCTGGGAGTTGAAGTCCATCCGTCTTCAAGTGGCCAAGGTTGAGAAACATGGGTCTAGAAAGGGTTTTGCTTGGGCTTCAGTTCCCAGAGTTCCTTAGCCAACATTGCTGACTAGGGAATTCTGGGAGTTGAAGTCCACGAAGCTTAAAGTTGCCAAGATTGAAAAATGCTGGTCTAGGTAGGCCAAAGGAAGGGTCAGCGGCTTTGACCTGCTAGTTAATCTTAACATTACCACTAGGTTTTTAACTCATCTGTTTAAGTGTGTTATATGAACTCATCCTCAAGTAAGGTAGAATGCTATGGATGTCTCAAAACTGATTTATTTTTATGCAAGGGCTTGCAGACTAAGCTTAGTAAAATTCATGCTGTTAGCCAAATTGGATTATCAAAATTGGACAGCAGAACCGGTGTTTTGTCTAGAACAGCTTCCTCCCGCAACCTGGCAGCCCTCTACATATGGAAACTTCAAGTCCCAGAATTCTCAGCAGCAGCAGTTGTGACAGCAGAAGAGAATTCTGGGACTTGAAGTCCACCTGAGGTTACCCAGGTTAAGAGAATTAACCCAATCTAAAAGATGGATATTTTTTATTTTATTTTATTTTATTATTATTTTATTGTATTTGTTGTATTGTATTGTATTATTTTATTTTATTATTTTATTTCTTTTATTTTATTATTTTATTTTATTTTATTTTATTATTTTATTTTTTATTATATTTTATTTTATTTTATTATATTATTTTATGTTATTTTATTATTTTTTATTTTACGTTATTTTGTTATTTTATTTTATTTTATTTTATTATTTTTTTATGTTATGTTATTTTATTTTATTTATTTTATTTTATTTTATTATTTTATTTTTTTATTTTATGTTGTTATTTATTTTATTATTTTATTTTATTTTATTATTTTATTTTTTATTATATTTTATTTTATTATTTTATTTTATTATTTTATTATTTTATGTTATGTTATTTTATTTTATTTATTTTATTATTTTATTTTATTTTATTTTATTTTATTTTATTTTATTTTTTATTATATTTTATTTTATTATTATTTTATTTTATTTCACTTTATTTTACATGTATTTTATTATTTTGTTTATGTTTTTTTATTTTATTTATATTTCATATTTTCTTAGCCGCCCATTTCTCTCAGAGAGGGGCTGTGGGTGGTATTCAATAGAATCCATAAAATTATATTAAAATCAGAATTAACTTAAGATCAGAACGTTTTTGAAATTGTAAAAATAATTTTGTAAAATTTCAAAAAGTCACAAATTCCAAAATGGGGGAGGGGGGTTAGCAGTTATTAATAGAGGCGGGAGCTCGCCGTGGTCAGCCCCACGGAGGTCTGGGCCTCTGTGTTCCTCACACAAGGCTGCACAGCCACGTTTTGACCCCTTTGCAGAAGCCAAGAGATATATTGCGTTTTTTCCCCTCTTTTGCTCTATTTCCACTGCCTTCTTTCCCTTTTTCTCTCTTCCTTCTAGGGCGCCGTTGTTGAGAAACGCACCTTCCCCTGCCTGTACTGTGAAGCTGTCTTCACATCAAAAACCCAGCTGGAGAAACATTGTCTCTGGAACCATTTGGAAAGACCGTTGCCGGCAGCCGCCCCCCCAGCAGAAAACAAAATGCAGAAGGCAACCAGCAAGGGGGCAGGGAAGAAAAGGTAGGGGCCAGGGCCTCTGGAACAAGAGGAGGGGCTAGGGCAGGGGTAGGCAACCTTGGCTCTTTTATGACTCGTGGACTTCAACTCCCAGAATTCCTGAGCCAGCTATGCTGGCTCAGGAATTCTGGGAGTTGAAGTCCACGAGTCATAAAAGAGCCAAGGTTGCCTGCCCCTGGGCTAGGGGAAGCTCCTCCCCCTGACCGCATGGATCTGGAATGATCACCGGCAGTCAAGCCTTGATGTAGGAGAAGGCATGGTAGAATCTGGGGGCGGAGTCAAAAGAGGTATCAGTCTAGCATCTCTACATAGCCACAAGCAAACTGAATCCAACTCTCTTTGAATTCCATTGACCCTAGTTATCTCCTAGCAGGCGCTAACCCTTAGTTGAGAAGATTCCTGCGCGTAGGCTTTTAGCAATAAATCAGTTGATTTGAACCTTCATGGGGATCTGGTTTTTTTTTTTGCACCTGATAGTTCCAGCCATAACTTTTACAAGATAGTTTGGCTCAAAAGGAAGCCGAACAAAACAGATTCACCTGAATCTGAGATTCAGCTGCATTATTGCGGCTGCCATCTTGAGTTTTTTTACACACACACACACACCCTACTGATGCACCTGGTCTCCATTAGCTAAGTATTAAGGAAGTGCTGCAGTTCAGCCTCACCTGAGTTTCTGTAGGACAAGAGACTGGACAGTCACCTGTCTGAGATGGTATAGGTTCTCCTGCTTGAGCGGGGAGCTGGACTAGAAGACCTCCATGGTCCCTTCCAGTTCTATTCTATTCTATTCTATTCTATTCTATTCTATTCTATTCTATTCTATTCTATTCTATTCTATTCTATGATCTGTCTATTCTATTCCATTCCATTCTACTCTACTCTACTCTACTCTACTCTACTCTACTCTACTCTACTCTACTCTACTCTACTCTACTCTACTCTACTCTACTCTATATACTCTATATTCTATTCTATTCTATTCTATTCTATTCTATTCTATTCTATTCTATTCTATTCTATTCTATGATCTGTCTATTCTATTCCATTCCGTTCTACTCTACTCTACTCTACTCTACTCTACTCTACTCTACTCTACTCTACTCTATTCTATTCTATTCTATTCTATTCTATTCTATTCTATTCTATGATCTGTCTATTCTATTCTATTCTATTCTATTCTATCTATTCTATAATCTGTCTATTCTATTCTATTCTATTCTATTCTATTCTATTCTATGGGCTGGGCAACGATGGGCCCTTTACAACTTGTGGACTTCCACTCCCAGAATTCCTGAGCCAGCATGGCTGGATCAGGAATTCTGGGAATTGGTCCACAGGTTGTAAAGGAGCCATGGTTGCCGACCTCTGCTATAGGAGAAAGAGTGGCAGAAGCTGGGGGCGGAGTCAAAAGAGGAACCAGCCTACAATCCCAATGTAGTCAAGAGCAGTCTGCTTTTGACTACATTGGGATTGTAGGCTGGTTCCTCTTTTGACTCTGCCCCAGCTTCTGCCACTCCTTCTCCAAATCTTTTGAATTCCATTGACCCGTATCTAACCTTAGCGGAGAAGATTCCTGCGAATGGGCTTTTAGCAATAGAGCAGCATCACTGCACCTGGTTTTTCGCACCCGACTCTTGCCGGCCTTGACTTCTCCTTCAACCTGCCTTTTGCCCTAGAGCTGCCGAACGGACCGTGACCCCCTCCCTTCACCCCAAACAAGCCAAGGTGGAGAAGGCTGTCGCCTTGCAGCACCCCGAGAACGGAGAGCATGCGGCCGTGAGCAAAGGCATCCGGGTTTTGCAGACCGCTGCGGCTGGAGGCGGGGAAGGGGCTGCAACTCCGCTGGGCCAGACGCCGGGCAGCCGTGGCTCTAAACATCAGGCCAGCAGACAGGCCTATAAGCAGGAGGAAGACCCCGAAAGGATGAAGCACAGTAAGATTAGAGCAGCATTTCTCAAACTTTTTTTGGGGGGGGTGGGCAGAGGCACCCCCTTTCCTCTGAGTTTAAAATTAGAAGGACAAGTGGTGTGGGGTCGCTTGTGTTGTGGCATGGAACGATCTGATTTCTAAACTGACCAATCATCAGCAGAACTGCCTACCTTTAACCCAAGGGTAGACAACCTTGGCTCTTTTCTGACTCGTGGACTTCAACTCCCAGAATTCCTGAGCCAGCATGGGGGAACTATGGCCCCTTCGTGACTCGTGGACTTCAACTCCCAGAATTCCTGAGCTCATGGCTCAGCTTGGAAACCTCTCCCTTTTCCCTCAGCGTGGCTGGCTCAGGAATTCTGGGAGTTGAAGTCCACGAGTCAGAAAAGAGCCAAGGTTGCCTACCTCTGGCCTAGGCCGCTTTATGACTCATGGACTTCAACTCCCAGAATTCCTGAGCCAGGATGGCTCAGCTTGGAAACCTCTCCCTTTCCCCTCAGTGTGGCTGGCTCAGGAATTCTGGGAGTTGAAGTCCACGAGTCCTAAAAGACCCAAATTTGCCTACCCCTGCTTTAGCCAAAGCCATTACAGGTGATCCTCAATTTACAACAATTCATTTAGTGACCGTTCAACGTTACAACGGCACTGAAAAAAAGCGACTTGTAGCCATTTTTCACACTTATTAGAAAAAAATCCCCAGGGTCACGTGATCAAAATTCTGGCAACTGGCATGTATTTATGACGGTTGCCCTTACCCAGGGTCATGTGATCCCCTTTTGCGACCTTCTAATGGGGAATCCAGATTCAGTTAACAACCGTGTTACTAATTTAACAGCCGCAGTGATTCACTTAGCAAGGGGGGAAAAAAAGGCCGTAAAATGGGGGCCAAACACACTTAACAACTGATTTGCTTAACAGCGGTCATTTTGGGCTTTAATTGTAGTCATAAACCGAGGACTACCTGTATACCTTTATTGTAAAAGTAAACTCTGCTGGTTGATTTTGCAGTATCTTCCTTATTTGGGGCGGGGCATCCTTGAAATTATCCTGCCTGGGTCACCAGCATTTGGAAGTCTCAGCTCCAAACATTGTGGAAAGATGATGCATTCTCTTTTGTGTTGTTATTTTCTAAACCCAAGATTCTAGTCCTTATGTTAAGGAAGACAAATTTGGAACCTGTATGGATAGTAACTAGCGAAACCTCAGAAGCTCAAGAAGGCTAAGGAGAGATTTCTGGGCTGGGGGTGAGGGTAGTGATTGTGCACCCCATTTTATTAATTGATTTATTGAATTGCCGAATTTCTACTCAAATGTGAGCCAAAGACTTGAATAGCCCAAAAAACAAATTAGAATTAGAATTATTAGAATTAGAATTATTAGAATTAGAATTATTAGAATTAGAATTAGAATTATTAGAATTAGAATCAGAATTAGAATCAGAATCACAATTATTAGAATTAGAATTATTAGAATTAGAATCAGAATTAGAATTATTAGAATTAGAATTATTAGAATTAGAATTAGAATTATTAGAATTAGAATCAGAATCAGAATTAGAATCAGAATCAGAATTATTAGAATTAGAATTAGAATTATTAGAATTAGAATCAGAATCAGAATCAGAATTAGAATTATTAGAATTAGAATTATTTGAATTAGAATCAGAATCAGAATCAGAATTAGAATTATTAGAATTAGAATTAGAATTATTAGAATTAAAATCAGAATCAGAATCATTAGAATTAGAATTATTAGAATTAGAATTAGAATTATTTGGCCAAGTGTGATCAGACACACAGGGAATTGGTCACTATAAAAAGAGTAGAACCACAAAAAAACAATAAAAATAGAGAACGGAGAGGGCATGATAAAAGTCAGAAGTCAAACTGGATTTATTGAATCTAATAATTAGCTTTAATGCTGGTTATTTTGTTCTCTCTTTTCAAGGCCATCAGTTGAGGAATAAATTATGCAAAACCATGTGCTAATTGCAGAAAAGTGACTCAACACCCAGGGGTTTGACCAAAGTTTTATTTCTGTTTTCTCCTTTTTGAGTTAGGAAGGAAACAGAAAACGCCTAAAAAGTTCACTGGAGAACAGCCATCCATCTCAGGAACGTTTGGATTAAAAGGTAAAAACAAAAGGTGTCTCTCTTTTTCCTCCCTCACCAATAATCCTAAATAATAACTCAATAACACGGGAATGTTTGAACTCTTTTATCTGCAAAGGCGAGGGGGTGGGTCCCTCTTCATCCATTTTTCTGGCACAAAATTCTTTGTATCTTTGGTTCATGTGGACTAGAAACCTATCTCGTTTGGGGGCTGTTGGCGGTTTGTTGCATGTCTCTGGTAGAAAGTTTTTCAGCATCTGCTACTTCTCTCTCTCTCCTTCTCCATTTCTGACTTTGGCATTGCGCCCTTTCTTGAGCTGGGCGGACTTCCTCACGGTCCCTCATATCTCGGTCACTTCCCCCAGCTGGACAACTGCAGTGCGCAGTGCATGGGACTGCCCTTGAAGACTATCTGGAAGTAACAGCTGGTGCAGAATCTTCCAGTGTGCTCAAATGTTTGGTGCCCTTTGGTGCAGATCAAAGTGCTGGTTATTACAGACCTCTACAGATAGTCCTCAGCTTATGACGAGTCTCCAAAAGCTAGGTACAGTTGGCCCTGGTTAATATCTGGAAAGGAGACCACCAGGAGATCCCCATTGCTATCAGCCAGGCTGGGAAACCAAAAGCAAAGATGCCACTGGTTGAGCCCCACTGGAAAACATCTTATGGGGCTGATATTGGACCAGGGACTCAAAGAGTTTCTGAATGCTGGGCTTTTGCTTTGCAGCAGACACGTTCTGTTTAAATTTGGTTTAAATTTTAAGAAAAATGGAATGGATTAGGCCAGTGATGGCGAACCTTTTAGAGACTGAGTGCCCAAACTGCAACCCAAAACCCACTTATGCATCATCGAGTGCCGGGTGGGTGTGGCCCACTGGGTGGGCGTGGCCCACTGGGTGGGCGTGGCTGTGGTGGTAACGGCAGACTGGGTGGGACTAAAAAGTTCAATCAATCAATTCCAACTTTGCAAGATCTTTTTTTTTCCGCGAGAAGTTGAAATTGACTGATTGAACCTTTTGGTTTTTTTGCACACAGCGGCAGAGGCCTAAAGCAAAAAGGTTTTATAAAACCCAGCTGAAAACCTAGGACTGGGGCGACAGCGTGCGTGCCCACAGAGAGGGCTCTGAGTGCCGCCTCTGGCACCCGTGCCATAGGTTCGCCACCACTGGATTAGGCCCTTTTTTCTTTCAGAGAGATCTAGAGATCAGCGTGCAGCCATGTGTGACCTTCCTAGGAGATTATACCTGGTTCTTCTAAGCGAGACTGGGGGGGGGGGGTCCTTGGTGTTCTCTGAGCTAGCTTGTTTTCTTGCAGACGTTTCATGACCAAACTAGGTAACATCATCAACACTGATGAAGTCACCTAGTTTGAACTGCAAGAAAACCACCAAGCTAAGAGAGCACAAAGGAAGCCACAATCATTGGCCTTCCTCCTCCTCCTCCTCCTCCTCCTCCTCCTCCTCTCCACATCCCACACTCCCTTCTAGCACTGATGATGTTACCTAGTTTGGGTCATGAAATGTCTGCAAGAAAACCACCCTGCTCAGAGAGCGCCTCATTCCAACCCGCAGCCAGAAACTGCCCAACGCTCACCCCTTCCAGAATTAATTTCTGCTTTTCAACAGGGCTGGCGAAAGCAGAAGACAAGGCTAAAGCACACCGCGCAAAGAAGTTGGAAGCTTCCCTCCTCAGCGGTAATACCGAAGATCGTAAGAAAAAGCTGACAGGATCCAGTGTGAAAAAAGAAACCACCACCGTATCAATAGCTCATTCAGCTGCAGGTAAGATTGACCAGGATGCTCTGTTAGTAGCAATTCCCTTATTTTGCTGGTTGGCGTTTTTGAAGCTTGAGCACTTTAAGATTTGTGGACTTCAACTCCCAGAATTCCCCAGCCAGCCATGCTGGCTGGGGAATTCTGGGAGTTGAAGTCCACAAATCTTAAAAGTAGCCAAGTTTCAGAAACATTGCGTTAGGTTGATGGTAGCTTGTAAACTATTTGATTTCCCCCCCAGTGGCTTTTATGGCCCGTGAGCACTTTAACCTTGGTTCCTAACCAGGTTAATCCCCAAATCATAGAATTGTACTGTCAAATGGGCAGCATTTGGGGATACCCAGTCCTCTCTCCCCAAACCTTTATAAAGATACCTGATTTTAACAGCACTGTGCAATTACAAGTATTCCTCGACTTAAGAACCATTTGTTTAGTGACCATTCAAAGTTACAACGGCATTGAAAAAAGTGACTTATGATCATTTGTTACATGACTGTGGTAGCATTCCCCACAATTAAGTGAACAACATTCAGACGCTTGTCGACTGGCTAATAATAATAATAATAATAATAATAATAATGATGATGATGATGATGATGATGATGATGATGATGATGATGTTGGAAGGGATCTTAGAGGTCATCTAGTCCAACCCCCTGCTCAGGCAGGAAGCCCTATACCATTTCAGACAAATGGCCGTCCAATCTCTTCTTAAAGTCCTTGACTTATGACCACAAAATTCGGTTGCTAAGTGAGACATGTTAAGTGAGCTTTGCCAATAATAATAATAATAATAATAATAATAATAATAATAATAATAATAATAATAATAGTAGTAGTAGTAATAAAAAGTTGGGAGGGACCTTGGAGGTCATCTAGTCCAGCTCAGGCAGGAAACCCTATACCCTTTCAGACAAATGGCTGTCCAGTCTCTTCTTAAAAACTTCCAGTGTTGGAGCATTCACCGCTTCTTGAGGCAGGTGGTTCCACTGGTTAATTGTTCTAACTGTCAGGAAGTTTCTCCTTAGTTCTAGGTTGCTTCTCTCCTTGATTAGTTTCCATCCGTTGCTTCTTGTCCTGCTTTCAGGCGCTTTGAAGAATAGCTTGACTCCCTCTTCTTTGGGCAGCCCCTGAGATACTGGAAGACTGCTATCCTGTCCCCCCTCGTCCTTCTCTTCATTAAACTAGACATACCCAATTCCAGCAACCGTCATTTGTATGTCTTACCCTCCAGGATGGTGGTTAAGTGTCTTTTACGGCCTCCTGACAGGCAAATTTGATGGGGAACCCAGATTCACTTAACAACCGTGCTAATATCTTAACAACTACATTGACTCTCTTAACAACTATGGCATGAAAGGTTGTAAAATGGGGCAGAATTTATTTAACAACTGTCTTGCTTAGCAACACAAATTTTGGGCTTGGTTGAATTAGCTGTATCAAAATTTGATAACTGCTCGACTTCTCCTTAATTGAATCCCGGTTCACCTTTTCACCTAAGATAAACCCCGTAAAAATGTCAAAATATAACAACAGCAAAATTACTCCCAAACAGCCTGTCAAGATTGCTATCTGCTTTTCAATAGGCACCAAATGGGTAGAAGCAATTAAACCTGACATCCATGTGGATATATCCTTTACTATGAATTTTGTCTGCACACTGAAAACTTGGGTTATTTTTCTTTTCCTGCCTTGGAAAACTGTAAAGTTCCTCGGTTCGTTGGCCCTCAGATTCCCCCCTTCCTGCCTTTTGAAATTTTGGCAAATAATCTGTAGACCTTTAAAAGTCAAAATATGTTTCTCTGGGATCAGCCCAAAATATATTTCTCTGGAAAATCTCTTACTGAACTGAAAACAGCTGGATTTTCCAAATAAATACATCAGCAACTTCTCCTAGCTAGCCAATTCATTTTCCCAGATTTTGTATCTGAAATTGATGTCATGAATAACTCCGCAAGCCTACATTGATCCATGGATGGGAGTTAAGCCAACCCCATATTTAGTGTTGCTACTTCATAATTTCTGTAACTGCTGGCCTGCCATTGATTATTGTGTTTTTCAAGAATGTTGTGATTTAAAGCAGAATTATGTCAAGGGTTTTCTTTCCTTTGTAGGGGTTGTGTTACAGCAGGGGTCTTCAGACTCGGCCCTTTTATGACTCGTGGACTTCAACTCCCAGAATTCCTCAGCTAGGCATGCTAACTGAGGAATTCTGGGAGTTGGTCCACGAGTCATAGAAGGGCCGAGTTTGAAGGCCCCTGTGTTACAGGAATGATTGTTTTGATTTTCAGATGCTTAAGTGACTTCTAATCCAGCCAGACAATTTGGTTATTAGCTAAGTTAACCTAGAAGTAAGGAGAAACAGGGGTCTTCAAACTTGGCCCTTTTATGACTTGTGGACTTCAACTCCCAGAATTCCTCAGCCAGCGTGCCTGGCTGAGGAATTCTGGGAATTGAAGTCCACAAGTCATAAAAGAGCCAAGTTTGAAGACCCCTGAGGAGAAACTTCCTAATAGTGAGGACAGTTAACCAGTGGAACAGCTGGCCTCCAGAAGTTGAGGGTGCTTCATCATTAGAGGTTTTTAAGAAGACTGGACAGTCATGGGAGGTAACCAGTCTGCCGCAGGTTACCTCCCATCGGCCGGTACGCTCCCACAGAGTGGGTCTCCTCAGGGTGCCGTCAGCCAGACAGTGCCGGCTGGCGACCCCCAGGGGGAGGGCCTTCTCGGTGGGAGCCCCCACCCTCTGGAACGAACTACCCCCAGAGATCCGGGTNATCCCGGATCTCCCCTCCTTCCGCCGCGCCCTAAAGACATGGCTTTTCCAACAAGCGGGATTGGCCTAGGGAATTTTAGTGGGGTTTTTAAGGGTAATTTTAAGGGTAATTTTAACGACTAGGCCTTTACAAATATTTTCTTTTAAATCTGGTTTTAATATTGATATTTGTTGTAATGTTGTTTTATAAGGCTGTTAGCCGCCCTGAGTCCGGTGAGGAGAAGGGCGGGATACAAATCAAATTATAAATAAATAAATAAATAAATAAATTTGTGAGAAATGGTCTAGGGTGTCCTTTTTGAGCAGGGGGTTGGACTAGATGACCTACAACAGTGGTGGCGAATGTATGGCACGGGTGCCAGAGGCGGGACTCAGAGCCCTCTCCGTGGGCACGTGCACCATCGCCCCAGTCCTAGGCCTTCAGCTGGGTTTTATAAAACCTTTTCACTTTAGGCCTCCGCCGCCATGTGCAAAAAAAAAAGGTTCAATCAATGAGTCAATTTCAACTTCTCGTGGGAAAAAAAAAAGATCTTGCAAAGTTGGAATTGATTGATTGAACTTTTTAGTCCCACCCAGTCTGCCGTTACCACCGCAGCCATGCCCACCCAATGGGCCACACCCACCCAATGGGCCACACCCACCCGGCACCCGACGATGCATAAGTGGGTTTGGGATTGCAGTTTGGGCACTCAGTCTCTAAAAGGTTCGCCATCACTGACCTAGAAGGTCCCTTCCAATTCTGTTATTTTAAGTTACCGTAAATAAGAACTTCAGCTAGTCCTCGATTTATAACAAGTCATATAGTGATTGTTCAAAGTTATAATGGCACTGAAAAAAATGACTTATAACTGGTTTTTACACATGACCATTGTAGCACTTCCTTGGTCACCAGGAGACAATGAGTTCTAGTCCCGCCTTAGGCATGAAAGGTGGCTGGGTGACTTTGGGCCAATCACCAGGAGACGGTGAGTTCTAGTCCCGCCTTAAGCATGAAAGCTGGCTGGGTGACTTTGGGCCAATCACTGGAGACAGTGAGTTCTAGTCCCGCTTTAGGCATGAAAGCTGGCTGGGTGACTTTGGGCCAGTCACCAGGAGACGGTGAGTTCTAGTCCCGCCTTGGGCCAGTCACACACTCTCTGAACCCAACCCATCTCACAGGGTTGTTATGGGGAAAATAGGAGGAGGAAAGAGTATTAAGTATGTTAGCTGCCTTTAGTTACTTATTAAAATAACAAAGGCAGGGAAATAAATAAATAGAAACAAACGAGAACGAAAGCAACACTATACTACAGATTGGTCCTGAAAAGTCAAAATGGAGCTCTCGAATTAAACCAAAAGTGAACCCCCTCACTGTTGAGCCTGACCAGCATTCATGGCTTGTCTTTTTCTCTTCTCCAGCAAGCCCTGAGGAGCAGTGGCAGCGGACAATCAACGAGAAAGGAGACGTCGCTTGCCCGACCTGTGGCATGATCACCCGGAAGACGGTCCTGGGTCTCAAGAAGCACATGGAAGTCTGCCAAAAAGTAGGGAGCTGCACACTCCCCATTAAAATGTCGAGGAACGAAACCCGTGTTCTGCAGCTGCGGATTGCTTTCAATGGGCCCACGCTGGCCCAACACCAGCTTTTGTCCTGTTCCTTTGGGCTACACCAGGGTTTACGCCTGGGCCATTGACTCTGAATTCCAGGCCCCTGGAATGGGCATCACAATTGCTGGGTTGCGGCAGTTTAATATACGACTAATCCTCGACTTACAACAGTTCATTTAGTGACCGTTCAAAGTGACAGCGGCATTGAAAAAAAAAGAGACTTATGACCATTTTTCATACTTATGACCAGGGGATCTTCAAACTTGGCCAATTTAAGACTTGCGGACTTCAACTCCCAGAATTCCTCATCAGGCACGCTGGCTGAGGAATTCTGGGAGTTGAAGTCTACAAGTCATAAAAGGGCCCAGTTTGAAGAGTCGTGGTTTAGGACTACATACCTGTATTACATTCTTTATGAGGGGGAAAAAAGCAGAAATCTTACCCTTGTTCTACATTTAGTGATAATTCCAGCCGCGGAGCCACAAAGCAGCCAACAAAAATCTGAGCTAGGCCTCTATCTACTCTTTTTTTCCAGAATATTCCTTCAAGATTTCCTCAGAATACTCAATACCTGCCTTATATATTCTATAGCCGGGGTCTTCAAATTTGGCCCTTTTATGACTTGTGGACTTCAACTCCCAGAATTCCTCAGCCAGCGTGCCTACCTGAGGAATTCTGGGAGTTGAAGTCACAAGTCACAAAAGGGCCAAGTTTGAAGACCCTTGCTTATGACCGTTGCAGCATCCCCATGGTCTTGTGATCGAAATTCAGTGGGCTTGGCAACCGACTCATATTTATGACGGTTGCAGTGTCCCGACTTACCACCCCAATTGAGCCCAAAATTTCTGTTGCTAAGTGAGACATTTGCAAAGTGAACTTTGCCCCATTTTATGACTTTCCTTGCCACAGCTGTTAAGTGAATCACTGCAGTTGTTAAGTTAGTAACACGGTTGTTAAGTGAATCTGGCTTCCCCCATTGACTTTGCTGGTCAGAAGGCCGCAAAAGTGTATCACATGACCCCTGGGACACTGCAACCGTCATAAATACGAGTCAGTTGCCAAGCACCTGAATTTTGATCATGTGACTACAGAGATGCTGCCATGGTCATAAGTGTGAAAAACAGCCCAAAGTCACTTTTTTCAGTGTGGTCGTAACTTTGAACGGTCACTAAATGAAGTGTAATACCTGCATTTTTATTATTTCACTGGGATCATAAACTATTCCCCATTTTGAGCAACTCTGAATAGCATTCATAAGCTGGCTTAAAAACAACAAGAGGATAAGCAAAAAACAGATGTACAACAGTGTCACGTATCCCAATTAGTAGTGTTAGGTGTAGTTTGAGAAAAGGAAAATCAAATCCGCTCTAGATTTCTCGGTCTGAAATATATTTATTTTTCTCCTTTGTTTTAGTTGCAGGATGCCTTGAAATGCCAGCACTGTAAAAAACAGTTCAAATCCAAAGCAGGGCTGAATTATCACACGATGGCAGAGCACATGAACAAGGTATGGAGTTTCTGCACGTAGATCTATGTCAGGGGTAGGCAACCTTGGCTCTTTTATGACTCGTGGACTTCAACTCCCAGAATTTCTGAGCCAGCGACACTGAGGGAAAAGGGAGAGGTTTCCAAGCTGAGCCATGCTGGCTCAGGAATTCTGGGAATTGAAGTCCACGAGTCATGAGGGGCCATAGTTCCCTCATGCTGGCTCCGGAATTCTGGGAGTTGAAGTCCACGAGTCATAAAAGAGCCAAGGTTGCCTACCCCTGGTCTATGTACAATGCAGATTGTGCATGTAGAAGGCAGGATACAAAGTAATGAGGGGAAGCTCATCAGAGGAAGACCCAGCCTGGAAATGAGGAATTTTCGGACAATGAGCACGATTAATCAGTGGAACAGGTTGACTGGGGAATTTGGGGAGTTAAAGTCAACAATATCACCAGAGTTGGAAGGGACCTTGGAGGTCTTCTAGTCCACCCCCCCCCCCCTGCTCAAGCAGGAGACACTATACCATTTCAGACAAATGGCTGTCCAGTCTCTTTTTAAAAGCTTCCGGTGATGGAGCACCCACAACTTCTGGAAGCAGGTTGTTCCACTGATTAATTGTTCTGACTGTCAGGAAATTTCTCCTTAGTTCCAGGTTGCTTCTCTCCTTGATTGGTTTCCATCCGTTGCTTCCTGTCCTGCCTTCAGGTGCTTTGGAGAATAGATTGACTCCTTCTTCTCTGTGGGAGCCCCTTGTAGCAGGAACACTACTATTATATCACCCCTTCCTTCTCTTCATTAAATTCAACATACCCAATTCCTGCAACCATTTTTCAAACCTTTTAGCCTCCAGTCCCTTAATCATCTTTGTTGCCCTTCTCTGCACTCTTTCTAGAGTCTCAACATCTTTTTTATATCATAGTGACCAAAACTGGATGTAATATTCCAAGTATGGTCTTACCAAGCCATTTTAAAGAGGTATTAACACTTCCCATTATTTTGATTCTATCCCTCTGTTGATGCAGCTTAAGATTGTACTGGCTTTTCTGATGGCTGTAGCACATGGCTGGCTCATATTTAAGTGATTGTCCACATCTTAAAGATGCAGAATTGAGAAATACTGCTCCAATCCAACATTTCTCAACTGGGACAACCTCTGAGTGACTGGACTTCACTTCCCAGAATTCTCATGAGTAGCCAAGCTGCCTGGGGAATTGTGGGATTTGAAGTCCATATACTTGGAAATTGCCGAAAGTTAGGAAATTCAGTGCTAATTTTTGTCTTCGACTCTAGAGCAGGTTGTTGCAAACTGGTACAGTTGAGCCAGCAGTGTGCTGCAGCTGCCAAAAAACCCAACACAGTGCTAGGCTGCATTAACAGAGGGGTAGCATCAAGATCACGTGAAGTGTTAATACCACTTTACAATGCCTTGGTAAGGCCACACTTGGAATACTGCATCCAGTTTTGGTCACCATGATGTAAAAAAGATGTTGAGACTCTGGAAAGAGTGAAGAGAAGAGCAACAAAGATGATCAGGGGACTGGAGGCTAAAACATATAAGGAAAGGCTGCTGGAATTGGGTATGTCTAGTTTAATGAAGAGAAGGACGAGGGGGGACATGATAGCAGTGTTCCAATATCTCAGGGGCTGCCCCAAAGAAGAGGGAGTCAAGCTATTCTCCAAAGCGCCTGAAGGCAGGACAAGAAGCAACGGATGGAAACTGACCAAGGAGAGAAGCAACCTAGAACTAAGGAGAAACTTCCTGACAGTTAGAACAATTAACCAGTGGAACAACCTGCCTCCAGAAGCGGTGAATGCTCCAACACTGGAAGTTTTTAAGAAGAGACTGGACAGCCATTTGTCCGAAATGGTATAGGGTTTCCTGCCTGAGCAGGGGGTTGGACTAGATGACCTCCAAGGTCCCTTCCAACATCATCATCACTATCATCATCATCATCATCATCATCATCATTATTATTATTATTATTATTATTATTATTATTATTATTATTATCATTATCATTATCATTATCATTATTATCACTATCATCATCATCATCATCATCATTATTATTATTATTATTATTATTATTATTAGAATGTCTAATTTTTGCCCCCTTATTTCTTCTTTCTAGAATGCTCCTGTGGAAGCTGCTGTCCCTCTCAGTGAACTGGGAGACAGGGAAAGGCTGAGGAAAGTTCTCAAGCAGATGGGAAAACTCAAATGCCCAAACGAGGTATTGATTTTGCTTTTCTGCCAGAATGTTTGCCTCACCTGTATGGATGGAAGAGAATATGTGTAGCTCAGGGCTGAACTGTGGGGTCCTTGGTGCCCTCTGACTTTGGTGGTTTTATTGCAGACATTTCATGACCCAACTAGGTAACATCATCAGTGCTAGAAGGAAGGAGGAGGAGGACTATGGGGTCCTTAGTGCTCTCTGAACTTGGTGGCTTTCCTTCAGACATTTCATTACCCAACTAGGTAACATCATCAGTGCTGGAAGGGAGTGGGGTTTATGGAGAGGAGGAGGATTTTAAAAAAAATATTTATTTTAGACTTTTTTCCCTGTCTTTGTTATTTTTAAAAATAACTCAAGGCGGTGAACATACCTATTCCTTCCTCCTATTTTCCCCATAACAACTCTGTGAGATCAGTTGGGCAGAGAGGGAATGACCGGCCCAAAGTCGCCCAGCTGGCTTTCACGCCTGAGGCAGAACTAGAACTCACTGTCACCTAGCTTCTAATCTAGCACCTTAACCATTAAACCAAACCGGCTCTTTGGCCAGGCTGGGGAGGCAAATTTTGGCCTGCCCTTTGTAAAAAGGGCACCGTTAACAGTTCTCAAAGCAAACGGGTAACCCAGCTCTCCCTTAAAAAGTGGTTGTACCAAAAAACCAATATGTCAACGCTGCTAACATCGGATGTTCTTGCTTTGACAACATATAGAGAGGCAGCCATTTTCCTTTATGTTTTACTCTTAGAATTAGAGTTTAGGATTAGAAGATATTGGGGGGGGGGGAGGAGAAGGAATGTGTATGGGAGTTTAGTTAGACATAACAATATTGTAACTAGGGTGAGAACCAAGGTTTTTTTAAATAAGAGATGATAAGAAATGGCGGGTTGAAGAACTATGACAGTTAATTGGAGGAGGGAATTGTGCTTTGATACTATGTGCTCAGGGGAGGGGAATTCAGATTTTGGCTTGGCCTATGTACGTGCTGATGCTATGCTACTCGAATAAAGATCCTTTAAGGCAGGGGTAGGCAACCTTGGCTCTTTTATGACTCGTGGACTTCAACTCCCAGAATTCCTGAGCCAGCCATGCTGAGGGAAAGGGAGAGGTTTCCAAGCTGAGCCAGGCTGGCTCAGGAATTCTGGGAGTTGAAGTCCACGAGTCATGAAGGGGCCATAGTTCCCTCATGCTGGCTCAGGAATTCTGGGAGTTGAAGTCCACGAGTCATGAAGGGGCCATAGTTCCCTCATGCTGGCTCAGGAATTCTGGGAGTTGAAGTCCACGAGTCATGAAGGGGACATAGTTCCCTCGTGCTGGCTCAGGAATTCTGGGAGTTGAAGTCCACGAGTCATGAAGGGGCCATAGTTCCCCCATGCTGGCTCAGGAATTCTGGGAGTTGAAGTCCACGAGTCATAAAAGAGCCAAGGTTGCCTACCCCTGCTTTAAAGTAAACAATGCCTAGAAGTACTTTGAAGAGTTTCATCTGTCGGAACCACGACACACTATTTCTGTGTGTTTTTTTTCCTCCCCTTCTGCTGCTTATTGTCTGTGGACGATTTAACATTTTTAGGCTGTTTTAAAGGATGGACTCGACACCCTGAAAACCCTTCCATCCTTGCTGACCGCCAGCCATTTCTTATTTCTTATATCTTCAGGGTTGCGTGGCCACTTTCTCCAGCCTTATGGGGTACCAGTATCACCAGAAGCGATGTGGGAAGCATCCCTCGGAGGTGGAGAAGCCGGTCTTCGCCTGCCCGCACTGTGGAAAGGCTTACAAATCTAAAGCTGGACACGACTACCACATCCGCTCCGAGCATCCGGCAATGGTGAGCCTCTAAGCCTCCCCCCCCCCGGTTTCCTGGTCGCCAAGGCTGGGCTTGTTATTTTGACGAGCGTTACAGGGTTAAGTCCTCGACTTAACGGCCACAAACTGGGGCCGGAAAAATCCCATTGTTAAGCAGCACGGCCGTCCCACGAGACAGGATGTGACCTGCTGTTGTGACCCTTTTTTTTGTCACGGGTCGTTAAATGCATAAGGTGGTCGTTAAGCAAACCCAGGTTTCCTCCAGGATCGCCAGCTGCAAGTTGCCGCCGCACGACCGCAGGAGGCCGCGATGGTCCTAAATCCGAGCCGGGTGGCCAAGTGCCCGGATTTTGATCACCTCGCTGCCGTTGCTAAGTGAATCCTAGGGTCGTTAAGCGAATCAGGCTTCCCAAAATTGATGTTTTATTGGAAGCCAGCTGGGAGGTTTGTCCTGGGTTATCACAGGACCTCCCCAAGATGTTGCAACCCCCATTTTGATCACATGACAACGGGGAAGCTGTAAAGGTTGTAAGAGGATGAGTCGTAAGTCCCTTGATGTTAAGGCAGTTTGCAGAATCTGGAAACATAATAATAATAATGATAATGATAATAAAGTTGGAAGGGACCTTGGAGGTCATCTGGTCCAACCCCCTGCTCAGACAGGAAACCCTATACCATTTCGGACAAATGGCTGTCCAGTCTCTTCTTAAAAACTTCCAGTGTTGGAGCATTCACCGCTTCTGGAGGCAGGTTGTTCCACTGGTTAATTGTTCTAACTGTCAGGAAGTTTCTCCTTAGTTCTAGGTTGCTTCTCTCCTTGATTAGTTTCCATCCGTTGCTTCTTGTCCTGCCTTCAGGC